TGTCCCAACTCCTGCCTGGTGCCACCCTGGACAAATGGCTTCCTAATCTTGTCTCGCAAACCTCCGGCGGGGGCACCCACCGCTCCAGGAGGCAGCTGGTCCACGGCTTCGTGGCTCTCATGGTCAACTTCCAGTTCGGAGCTCCCACTGCAGAGCTTGCGTCCCTCTTCGGCGTGGAGGCGCCACACGAAACCTGGAGGTCGTGGAGGGTCCGGCCAGCCCCCTCCCCGTAGTGCAGACTCCAAACTGATTTCCCGTGGCAAGATTCCCAGGTCTGGGCCTGAACCCGCCCAGCCAGTCTGGCGGGCAGTTGGGGCGAGCAGACCGCTGCTGCGTTTCAGGCCTGATCTCATCAGCCGCCCCCCTGGCTCCCCACAGGATGTGCTCCCAGCGCCCGATAATACCCAAAGCCATCAGATTATTACTGCAGGCCACGCGTTTTTCCATTTACTGTAATAAAATACTGAAGAAACAAAACAATTTAAAATTCTAATAAAACTCAAAGCATATCTTCTGCAGCCGAGATGATTCAATTATTTAGCTGTTATTGAATGCAAAGACGGGGAAATAGAACAGCTTGCAAGATGGAGAGAGGGAAATTCTTGCTCCTTGCGGGGAATTTGGGATCACGTTTTTCCCCCCCCCTTCTGCCCAGAAAAATATGAGATGAGGTGGCAACGGGAGCTCATGGTGGAAATGGAACACCATTTTTCCGGGGAGGTTTAGCTTCCTTTGAAAAAAAATTAAATGAAAATTATAAATATTTGTTGTTGTTGTATTTTCCTTGCTGAAGCCCTCAAAGCAGCTGGCAGAAAACAAAAGCAAAATACATAATGAGACACTTAAGTTAAAACAACATAAAACAACATTCAGTAAACAGGCCGTTTAGGGGGTTCTGGCTGGCTTTGCGCTCAGTGCTGCGGGTCCCTTCGATGTGTTTTTCAAACAGGTATCACCTTAATTAGAATGGATTAAATTGGGTCTTAACTCAAGCTTTTTCTAGGCTAATGGGCTTATGAAATGACTTTCTAAAAAAAGAAGTGTTTAATCTTTAATGGTGCGTAGTCTTCGGCCGGCTTCCTCCCCATTCCGTACATCCAGACGTACTTTTTAATGAAACGTTTTAAAAGCATTTTAAATTAAATATTATGTGGCATAGATTAGGGTCCTGTCTTATCCCTATTTTAATGCCGTTGCCTACTTAGGATTTTGAAATGTTGAGATTTTTTTCCCAACGTTTCTTCACACCTACTTGGACCGTGATTTCTTTTCAGGTTAGACTGCTGAAGCTGCTGTTCTCTGGGTTTCTGTTTCTTTGAGAGGGAGGATTCCTGACAAAACCAGGTCATTAATATATCAGAATTGTCATTCCGTATTAGCAGAATTAGAAGAGTGTTTATTTTTGAAAAATGGAGTAACTCTTCTTTTAAAAGAAAAAGAAAAAAACGGGTTGGGGGGACTCCAGCACTCCAGAAGAGTTTCTAGTTGCCAGAAAGACGCTGGAAACCCTGGACTGGCACTGCTAAGGACGTTTGCCCCTGGAAGGAGGGCCTGAGGGTGGCTGCGGTCCAGCATTCTGGCCACCAGCATCCAACCGGCTCACCTGGAAGCCCCCAGACCCAGGCCGGAGGGCGGGTGAGAGCAGAAGGGCCCGGGCTTCACAGAGAGCAGCCCCTGCGGCGGCTGTGGCGGAGGGCCAGGAGGAGGCCAGCCGGTGCGAGCCGGTGGCAGTGTCTCGAGGCGAGTCTGCCGTGGCACAGCGGCGAGGGTGCGAACAGGGAAAGTAATTACGGTCCGTTCGAAAGCAGTAATTACTGCGGGGAGGGGGAGGCGCTTGCCAGCAGAGCTCCGAAGCGCACCAGGAGCCCCACGGAAATTGGTTGCTCTATCATTTTCGCAGCAGGGGTGCTCAGCTCACCCCAAGATGTGACAACACGTGGAATTTGCGGCTTGTCATATCCCGTCCCTGCTTGCGTTCAGGCAGTGACAAAGCCAGTCTCCCTCCTCCTCCGACCCGTGAGTGATGCTTCGGTGGCGCGCGGAGCGTTCTCTGCCCTCCCGAAGCCGAACGCGGCCCGGGGAAGCCGGGGCCCGGCCTGCGCTGCGATTCCGGGGGGCGCGAAGGCGGGGCGAGCGAGATTGGGCACGTGGGCAAGTGGCGCCTGCGGGATTGCTGGGGCATCTCTCCGCATGGGCTGCGGTTCCCCTCCTGCGCGGGCAGACCTTCCCCGGCACCCCGTTCCCTTGCTAACCCTCGTGCCAGGAGCCCGTGTCATTAGGGATTCCACGAGTGTCACCGGCTAATTAGTGTCACTATTAATTGAACGCTGGCAGCGCTCCCACCCCCCAAGGACAGCGGAGTCGGCACGGAGGGGAGTGCAGACGTGCCCTCTGCCTCCCTGGCTCGAAGGTGATTTCAGCAGCCCCGAGCCTGCTCCCTGTGGGTCTCGGCCGCCGTGCCCCAGGGCTCCCCCCGTCCAGACGTTGCCCGCGGCACGCCCAGGGCCTCCGGCCTGGCCTCAGGCACAGCAAAGGGCGAGGCCGCCGGGAGCAGGCCGTCCCACACCTCGGGGGCCGGGGGCCTCCCCCTCTGCTCGGCTCACCATCCCGGCCCTGCCTCCGCTCGATGCCACCTTTCTGCCCGACAAGGGTGTGTGGGTGCAAGCGTGTTTCACTCCGGCAGCAAACTGCCTCGCCCATTAATCGTGGGTTTCCACTGAAACCAGCAGTCGGCTGGAAAGCAGGTTTGCCCGGCGTTCCCCCGTTTCATTAACGTTACAGGCTTTTTACAGGTGTCTTAAATAGGCATTGTTATTAACGAGTCTATTAAGTCAATTAA